GCGGCCTTCCACCGCCGCCAACTAGTTTTTCGTACGCTCAACCGCAACCGCCGCACGCCTCGCGAACCGGCGTCAATTGCGCAGTCACCGCTGCACTCGACGGTCCGTCCGCGTCACGTGCCCATCTCCCGTTCCGGTCAGTCGGCGACGATCGATCGTTCTCCCAAGCAGCCGATCGGCGCAATCGATTACCTCCGCCGGACATCCGCTGCTGCACCGGCCGAACGTCTCGAGAACAATGTCCACCGCCGACTGGGGATACGAAGAGTCGAACGGTAGGTGAACGACGGACGAGAGTCTCCGACGTCTCGTGTCGTATCTTATTTTGCCGTCGCGTTCGCGCGCGACGTTCACGTGCGATTGTTCCTCCCCGTCCGTTTACCGGTGTCGTTTCAACGGACGGACGGACGAACGTGTAACCGTCCGAGATCGGTCGACCGGTCGGTGTATTTTTGTTTTACGATCGCTTTCTTTTCGGTGTTCACGGTTCGTTCACGTTCGGTCACGTTTTAGCGGCCGTTCCGTCCGCTACGTGAAGTCGTGGTAAGAAAACGCGGCGGAGGCAACGTTCGACACTCGGTGTCCGGTCGACTCGGAACGGCTTACGGTCGAACCGATTCTCGGATCCGATCTACGCTTTTGTTGCCGGACGACAATCGTGGTTCAAATTTACACGCATTTTCGTATTTTTTTTTTTTTTTTTTTTTTATTTACGTTGTTGTTTACCCGTTTATGCGGGCAAACCAGTTTTCGTCCGATTCGGATAAACGTACCACGGCACCTGTTCTTGAACGGAATTACGGTGGTGTGTTCTATTTTGGAACCGACCGCGCGTCGTTTTTATGAACACCAAACGGTCGTTATTAATAATGTGTTATTGAGTATTCGCCGAACGATTACATGAAAAATCAAATCTATTATTAATCGTTATCGTTATGACGAAAGGATGTGGTTGATGTAATTTTAAGTACTTGAATTAATATTCGAACGTTGCGATCCGGTACGTAACGATGTCAACGGCCGTGGTGTTTCTACTTCACGTTGCAAACATATCGACATAAATTTATTCATCGGACGATTCCGCAGTGGTAGATAGTACTTCGCAGCTTATATTATAATACTGCAATGCTTTTTAATTTCCCGTATCTAAATCGCATTGATCTAAATGTAAGGTGAAGACAATGTGATATCCGCTACGATCGGTTCGACTACATTTTCGTTTTTTTTTTCACTTCAAAAGATTACATATTTCGTTTTTGTCGTGTGTAATCGTTGTCATTTAAAGAAGTATGGTTTTAAAAGTGATACTCGGGCGAAACGTAGTACAACCATGCCATTCTTTCATTTAGTATTATTGGTTTTGTTCTCGATTGATGAGTGTGCGCATCACCGATTATGGTATCGATTTGGATATTATCAGCCACCTCCCATCACCGGAAAATTAAGTTTAAAAAGCAAATTTAAACAAATTTAATAAATTATTAATCTATTTCAATCATTTTTTATTTGAACAATAAAAACAAATTAGTTTATTTTACAATCAAAAATTAATGGAATGTTAGTCAATTAGACGACTGATAATCCTGATTACGAACAATTTGTCTAATATTCGGTCTAGTCCCGTTCAATACGTACAATTTCGTGTTCCAATTAAAATTGGTTCTTTTATTTTTATTTGATTGTCATTTTTGTTAAAAATCCTCATTCAAACCTGCAAGTTGTCGAAAAAAGTATTGGTTATTTCTAGGCTTAAATACTCGTCATTAATTTCTCGTAAAATGTTGCTAGTTGTGCATCGTTAAAATTTATTTTTTGTGTATTGTCTTCGCAAATCCTAAGGAATTTTATTTTAATTTCAATTTTTAACAACTAGAAATACTCCTTAATTTAAAGAGTTAGGACATTCGATAAAGATTATACAGTAGTACAATTGCAGTACACGTGACTGGTGCAATTATTATAACAATACATAGTATGAAAAATAAATTAATCTTGTCTTTATACTTCGGAAAATCTCTTTTTATCCCATGGAGGATATTTACTCCCAGGTTGGGAACCACTGATGTAGTAGATGCAAGTTCCATCAATGCTATTTGAAGTACGCCAAGAATATATTTTACCAAGACATTTCAACGTACGCGATAGTCATACGTATTACTATTACGTGAGATGTACATTTTTTTTTAAATTATGTAATATCATTTATTCGAGCATTTTTACTCCTTTGATTGCTCATTAAAGTCACTAGGTCTTTGACGTCCCATATTTCGCTTTGTCGGATTATTCCATTATTTTACGTAGAATACATACCTTAAACTTATGTTCCATTTTTCTTTATTGATGATAATATTTTTAAAAAATTACTTTAATCTAGTCTATGATTTTAATTGAAAATTTGTAATAATATTAAATATTTTATTATTATGTTAAGTTAACTAAAACGATATAAAGTCGACTATAATGCTTGAGAGTTGACAATGATGCTTAATTTATAATCATGATTATATTATAATAAAATATTCTGTTGATAAATACTATTGAAATATTTTACTCAAGATTTAACTTCATACTTCATTGCTTATAATTTGTGAAATAAATTTTAGTGAAGGAAATATTACAAATTGTATACGGATGACATTAATAGAACCTTATTAATTATTTATTTTGGAAATAAGTGAAGACATAAAAAATTCTTATTATGTAAATCTACCAAGATAATAATCTATCTAGATTATACAATTGATTTACTATAACCATAAATAGTAAAGTATCATTTTATTATTCAATTTTTAACAATAACCTAGAATAATGTATGGAGGTTAAGTGTAATATTGTTTAGCATACAGAGTACCTACATGCTTTTTTATGGTCTACCTGGTAGTACTTATATTATTCTGTTAGATAATACTCAGGTTTTCTATGTTATATAATACCTAGTAAATATAAAATGTATAGGGTGCAAGATTAATCGGTCTGATAATTAAAAAAAATTAATCAAATATAAACTAGTAGGTTAGGAATTTTATTTATATGAAGTAAATTCCACCGCAAAAGCTTTTTAAATAAAAAAAAAAAAAAAATGAAGTAAATTAAGTATAAGTTAAATTAATCAAACTATTATAAGTAATGTTAATTATTTTAATACATTCAAATATTAAAAAGGGGCTTAAATCAAACTTCATTTAACTTGGGGGAATATTTTATTTGAATATCTAACATTAAAGCGTTAGTATCTATGACAGTTTTACTCGTTGTGTATGTTTATATCTATTTTTTATAATTTAATATTGAAGTTCTCTTTTTTTTTTTGTACCTTTGTTCTTGAGTTATTGTTATGTAAAAACAGTTGAAATTTATTAAAATATTCAATAATAGTTCTCTTTTTTGATATTTGTTGATGAATACTCGTCTAATAAATAACAAGTTTATCGTGGGTAATTGAGCAAGAGTTTTATGTTATTGAAATTTTTTTATTTTTATTTGTACCTATTTAACAATTTTGTATTATGAAACGTAATTTGAAATAATTTAATATGCTTATGATACTGCATATGTACTAAGTTTTTTATTGAAGTTATTATTTTATAAGGTATTACTTTATAATAGCTTAATAATACATCAGCTTAGTTATAAAATGGGTATTTCCTGAATTTAGTAAGTAGACGCAATTCGTTAATTATAAACCAAACCAGTTTTCAGTACAAATTATATCTTAGAAATGTTTCTACATAGATTTTTGGAACTATTAAAAATGTGATTTTCTTTTTTTCAGTTGACTGCATAGTGATACATATTTTAAATATCTTAACATATTTAAGATAATATCGCGAATTTTGTTTTGAAAAAATAAAATTGTACAGAAAATGTAGATCTTCTATCATTATTGTTCATACCTTTGAATTTCTATACCAATCAATAAATGTAAATAAATTATAAATATAATTATTATGCATAACTGCATAATGCATTTTAATTGTTTATTATTCTAATATACATTTTTAACTGTAAGACATATTTTTTTGTTTGGATTAATGGATGAAAGATTGGCGTGGTTACAATTTTATACATATTCTAATTATTTTAGATTCTGTACTTATTAGTTTAGTATTTGGGTCATCAAATTAATTGATGTTTTTTTGTATGAGAAACACATTCGGGATTAGATTTGCTTCAAATTGTTCATGATTAGAAATTAATTACATATTTGAAATTTCACCTTAGATGTTTGATTTGCTCAGAATCGTGTGTAAACAGAATTCTTCAAATATGTGAAGAGATATTAGCATATCAGTTTCAATTAAATCTCTGACTATTTTTGAGCAATCCAAGCTTCCAGAATTTCTATTTGAATTCCATTAATTATTTTGATACACATATAGGTACAGTTTATAACAATTATGCAATACTTATTTCTACCCGGATTTCTTTCTGGTAGTCCTATGATTTTTAAATTTTTGAAATATTTGATTTAAAATAAAAATTATTGGTATTTGCAATACGCATGTTAAAATAAAGATTAAAATATAACCAATGTTTGTTTTGCTTTAAAATGTTTATCGGATGGTTGTAAATGATAATGATACTGCATCTAATTCATATATAATGAAACTAAATGGTATGTAATAATCCTTATGAAATTCATCGTAGATGTCGAGGTTCAACTTGCAGTTAGATACTTTCCTTGTATAATAAACACAATGATAATCAAAAATCAAAAATAAAAGAAAAGATTAATGGACAATAGTATTCCATTATAAAATTGTGTAGTGTTAAACATTTATTAAAGAGTATTAATATGAACAGTAAGTGATTACATGCGACACAGGGGCGGTTCGTCAGAGGAGATTTTGGGACTACGTCTTCCCTTAAAAAAAACAGCTATTTGTAAATAATAACTATTTGAAGATGTAAAGAAATATTTGTATTGAAAATATTCGTATGTTATAGCGTTTTCTATATTTATTATTATAAATTTAAGGCCATAAAATATAAAATCTATAAATAGTTATTTCGATAGAAACACTATTTTAGTAATTTCGAAGACGATCATATTTTCAGTTAAACTGACGTCCGTTAGGTTCAATCGTAACATGTAATAGTTTGGTTTGTTGGTCGGAGGGGGCCGGTGAGAATAATCCGCATATTATAAACGCTGAAACTGGGTTCACAACAATAATTTCCGTGCCATCGCGCCGTCGTTAGTCGCTGTACAACGTTATCTGCGAATTCGCAGATAAAAAAAATTGCAGAATTTAATTAGCTTATAAACAAATTT